CCTTGAGTTCCGAGTTCAAAAATTGAAGCCCATTGAAATATGTTACTATCTCTATATGAGTGAAAAATTCCATAAATTGACACAAAATACAACTTAAAATCAATCTATTATCTGTTTTATGAATTAACTGTATACAGTTTTTGTCACACCAGATAGTGTTGGTTTTTTTTAGACCTTAATTAGCATCAAGGGCAATGGAGCAGTGAAAATTCTTTATTTTGCCAATAACTACCGTGAAAAATTATCTCAGTATCAAAGACTCACCCGTACTACCCCTAATTATAAATTCTAAAGTCGGGCGCTTGGCTTAGTAACTGTTAATCAACGCAAGAAGAAATAAACCTGAGCCACCTGAGAACTCTCTCCGTTTTAAATATTATAACTAAGCTTTTAAGTTATACGAACGTTGTTTATTGTACCGAATTTCGATATTTTTTTCTGAATAGTTGATATATGTGAAGGCCATGATTGTAAGAATGGAGGAAACTGTGTGGCCAACCAGTCTGTAATACGTGGATACACATGCAGCTGTGTTACTGGATATGTAGGAGACAACTGTGAAGGTAAACTGAATACAACTTAATATAGAACAGCACTTAGATGATTTAACGGTTTAGATCATTTGTTGTGAACTTGAACTTTATTACGAAAAAGAAAAAAAAAAAGGTTTACTAAATCAAAATGAATCCTTGATTCCAGTTGGTGTTTGTGAGAGCCATAGTTGTATCAATGGGGGCTTGTGTGAAGCAGACCAAACCACTTCCAGAGGATACAAGTGTAACTGTGTTTATGGTTATGTTGGAGACAATTGTGAAGGTTACATGTACAATAAGACATTTATTTACTTCTTAAATATTTTTTTTCAGTTTAAAATAAACATTTTTACCATCTCTGTATGATTCAATTTCATTTAGCGATGTAAGTTTTAATGAATGTGTAAACATTCTTATAAGCAGATTAAATATGCAATGTTACCCCATCCAATATTTAAAAATCCAATTCCTCATCGATTTTTATAAATAGATTAAAATAGATATAAATTAAAAGTATATCAAGAAAAGGAACATCAGTAACGGTGTATGTAGTCAGATGAATTTTGTTTTAATTACAAACAGTATTTGTGTTAAAAAATCCATTTAACAATACAAAATAGGTGCATAGGAAACACGGACCTCCAAAACATGAAAGTTGATCATGTGCCTTGAAGGAGTGAGCAGTTTCAAATTAGAAAGACAAATCACATTCTATAGATTGATAAAAAAAGAAAACAACGATGGCTGTATTTCTTTTAATTTGATTTTTCAGTTCTCGGAATAGACTGTAAGGTGTATCGTGATATTGGTTACACGGAGTCAGGTGTGTACGGTATTTACCCCTTTGGACCTAGCTCTGAGTCTGTAAGAACCTACTGTGATATGGAGACCGCGGACGGAGGCTGGACAGTATGTAGTTATATATATAAAAGGCATCTTACACATGTGTTCATGTCTCACTTAGAAACGCTGACATGTAGCCATTAATTTTTTTTAAGCTAATATTTATTTAGACCAAAAAAACCTTGTTTTCACTGAAAGTGTTGAAATAGCCCAAATGAAAAATTCATAGATGATTGTATCACTAGGGTTGAGGCGCGGATCATCACAAAAAATGAGTTATAAGCGTCGAGATTGATCTGATTTTCAACCCCTGTCAGGGAGATGTGACGTCAACGAGATGTCATACAACTCATTGGATCAAGTTACTGTTATAATAATATAATAAGTGTGTTATTCACTACTCTATAAAGAACAAGATATGAAACTTTTCAATTTTTCTCCGTGGAATAAAGATTTTAAATGAGCTTCTTTTTTATGCGCATTGATACGTGAGTGCGTCAAATCATAAATTGTGTGTGTGAACTGTGAAACATAATTTGTTAAATAATAAATTATAAAGATATATTAGTTTGATTGAATGAAATATGAGAAAATATTTACATTTAGTGTAATTTTCCTTATGAAATCCATTAGAAAGCCATGACGTTCAAAACTCTTTATTACACTCGAAACCTCGTCAACGCGCGTTAGACTACACAGTAGGAACTACATCACGTCATTAACGTCACAAATGGCTCTTACGTCTGTAAAGTAAACATGTTTTGAAGGGTGAAATAAACAATTATGAAGAGGAAAAATTAAAGAATGTAAATATAAGTATTGAATTTTTACATGATGAAAACTGCTAATATCTTTTTTTCAAAGGCTATCCAAAAAAGGCTAGATGGATCACTGAGCTTTGACAGGCAATGGCTAGAGTATAAGAGAGGTTTTGGTGCACCGGAGCACAGCTACTGGATTGGTAAATAATCTTCAAATTTTAGTTAATGATTTAAAGGAAAAGATTTATGTTCCTAAATCAATACATTGCATTATGTTTTCAACAAAAGTAGTCTTTGATTAATAACCATAGTATAATTATTATTGATCTCATTAAAAGCAACAAATGTGTGTGTGTGTGTGTGGGGGGGGGGGGGGGGGCAATTAACTTAGGTTATAAACCTGATTTATAATTATTTCAACTAAAATTACAACTAATGGATATTTACATATGAATATGATATAAGACTTAAAATGGTATATAACAATTTAATTATTTTCAGGAAATATTAATGAGAGAAAACAATAATTTTGAATTTACCTCAAAATAGGAAATGACATCATCCATCAGCTGACAAAGGGAAATGACTCATCTCTGTTTGTTTCCATCACGCTCATTAATGGCACAAAACTGTATGAGTTGTTTGACAGATTTTCTGTTTCTACTGAAGAAAATAATTATCAACTCTTTATTGGGGGACCTGCCATAGGAACATTAGGTACGTAAGAAGTAACATAAGTATTTTATTGATATGTGACAGTGAGACAGCAAATAGAGCAGAGTGTGAAAAGGAAGAAAGATGAGTAAGACAGAGAGCGGAAATTTTAATGTGTACAAAAATTGAAAAAAAAAACTTAAAAATAAGATCTGTCATTTCCAAAGCAATTTGTTTACAATTTTGCAAAACTTTTCTTGAAATGATGTAACTGTAAAATGTTTTATTTAATTCTACAGGTGACCGTATTTTAAACCCTGACGCCCCTTCTCTGTCCGGCCTGTACTTTACCACCACCGATAGGGACAATGACAGGTTTCCTAACTTTAACTGTGCTAAAGGTTTCAAAGGAGGTTGGTGGTATAACAGATGCCATAGTGTCTTTCTTAACGGACCCTGGTCCTCTGAAGACTGGGATCGACCCTGGTATCCTACCGTTGAGTCTGGAATAGCTGTGAGAGGGACTCTAATGATGATAAAACGCCAATTGCAATAAGGAGAACATTTTTTTCCGGGAACTCATCTATGTACGGTTTATTATGAATTTAAATGAATGCATTCAGTTTTTTTTTTTAAATTATTAAAATGTTATGAAGCTTTGTCTCTTGAAATAAAAAAAAAACGCTGTAACTGATTTATTAGTGTTTGAAATAAATTCAATAGTAAGAGTTCGAAAGACATAGAAACATGCTACAGTGTAAGAAAAAAAATGATTTTTTTTTTCATTATTCTTCGGTGAATTCACTACTAAGTCAAAAACGTACTGACATTCCCATTTTTTACTGACAAACTTAGAAAATTACTGACAATGTGCTGTCGTTACTGTAAAACTTAGACAATTACTGACCTTTTTACTGCCGCTGCTGATAAACTTAGAAAAGTGCTGACAATCTTAGTCGGTGCTGAAAAATTTAGACAATTACTGACCCGTTTACTGTCCCTGCTGAAAAACTTAGACAAGTGCTGACATTTACTGATAATTACTGTCCCTATTGTTCTCGCTCTCGGGGAGACTGCAGTGGTGTGAAAATGACTGTGTGTTATACTTTGCGTCTAAAAACAGTCTTATTTTAATTTTTGATGAAAAAAAATTGTTTATTATTTTTTTTAATCTAATTTAAAATGTTATCGATATCTGTAAAATAATTCAGAATATGATTTGAAATTAACTATGTGTAAATCAAGTTTAAATTTATGTGTAGAATATATCTATCCCAGTTCAGTTAAAGAATTAAAATAAATTATTCATCAAGTTTTCATCTATTAATTTCTTTGCACACAGATATCTGACTTTAGAGACCCCCCCCCCCCCTTTTCACGATTTGGAAAGTTGTATTAATTTTCTTTTCACAAACAGGACAGATGTCTCTTGTTAAAATAGGGAATCTTCTAAATATTGAATAATGAATTACTCATAGGTAATTCAGTTTCCTAATGTTCTCGGACATCTGTACAAGTCAAATAATTTTTTACCCCTGTTAACGGATTTCCGGTTTCATTTGCTCATACGGGAGTTCCCCTATTGAACAGTACAGTATTCCACTTATAAACTTGTACTATGCCTTGTTAAGTTTGTCACTTAAAACGTTTTACCAATATCTAACTCAATGGTTGGTTGGTCGCTTACACAGGGTTCATATGTACCCAATGTCGGAGACTAATAAATATTTATCAGACTAGCAATAAAAATTCATGTACTAGTAGCAATTATAGTAATCTTACGGAAAATATTCATATTTACTAGGTCAGCGGTAAGACTAATATTAGCAGTAGCACCATTTTCTCCAATATTTTTCTTCTCTCTCTTTCTCAAAGATACAAACAGTACTGACGCTTTAAATTACTTAAAAAGTACTCTGTTTATTCACATTGCCAGGGGGGGGGTGTAGATCACGATTTAGTTTTTTAAGTATTAAGTATTTTTTAATCATGATTCAATTTGAACAAAAATATTTCATGTTTCATACTTACCATTTCCCCCTGTAGCTATCGGTGAATTGGAATTAATTTAAGTTTATGTGCCGAAGTTAAATTTCATCTCATTAAAGTAAGTAGGCGTAGGGAATTTAATGATGTTAACATAATAATAAGGCAGAATGCGGACTTGTCTAGTAAAATATTTTACGAAGTAGTGAAAATTGAAAGTCATAAGCCCGTCGAACCAGTGCTAACAAATATTTATTCCGAACCCTCTAGTATACATGTATAACCCCCCCCCCTACACACATTACCTGAAAAAAATATCTAGTATACTTGAAAAGTATTTATAAAAATGTGTAAGTTTTTTTAATGATGCAAATTTCTTTGTCCATTTGATCAATTTATACCCGTCATGATATATTTTATTCAGGTTTTATTAACATCTTTCTTTTTCATAAGATTAAGATTATTCGCTAACTGTAGGTGCCCACAATCTTCCGTGTCGAGTTGCCGTTCATCTCTCTCTCTCTCTCTCTCTCTCTCTCTCTCTCTCTCTCTCTCTCTCTCTCTCTCTCAATATCGACCCAGGCAAAGTTTAAAATATAGTTAAACTCCGGCTGATTTTTTTACTGTCATGATATTGCTGCATATAAATTGTTTTTTATTTTTAATTTATCTAAATTACTGATAAAAAGTTAAGAAAATATACTATGAACTATTTTTTATTTGATTTGATAATCAAACAAATTCCTCACTTCACTGTCCCACACCCACACTAACACGACTTAACAAAAATATTAGGAACCAGTAATTTCTTTTACAAAACTAGATGTAATGTACCCCTTCTTATATATATTTATCCTTGCTTAAATCTTTAAAAAGTGTGTGCTTTCCCCGGTTGGTTTTCACATCATCCTTCTTTTTCATTAATCGTTAATTTTATCTTATATCGGTATAGTTAAAAAAATAATTTATTTAATCTAAGAAGAGGTTGAAGGATTGTAGATTGCAGTTTTATATTACGTATGTGTTGGTGTTGAATTTCTCAAATTCTAACTGTGTTGAAGAGTCTACCTGTCGCCGTAATGTTGCATAACTAACTTCCAGTGAAATCCGGCGAGTGGTCTTCTGTATAATGCTGCAGTGACACCTATTGTCTTCTTTACCCGCTACCGTACACACTCGGATCGCCTCAGCCGGTTTCTTCTACACACAGGTGCTTCACAGAGTTTCCGTGAAAGATTATGTAATTCGGCTGGATACCAGCTAAAGACTTGAATAATTTTGGACGAATAAAAAGCGCAGTGTTACTGTAAAATCATGATACTGGTTTCGATACCGAACAAAGCTATGAAACGTCGATTGATTAAGTTAATTAAATTTATTAATTTTTTTTAAATTAAACAGATAAAAAAGAGTACAAACTTAAACACGACAGTATTGTGTGCTCTTCTTCAGTAAAATTAATAAATAAATTTTCATTGTTCTACATTTAGTTCGCACGTAACCCCCCCCCCCCCCATTTAAATTTGAAAAGAAACTAGATCCATGTGAACGTCTACCGACACTCTATTTGAAAAGAACATTCTATCAACGTTTTGTTTCAGGAGTATGCATAGACAAATGATGATAATATAAAATGTCATGGTTTTACATACATTTGAATTAAAATAATCCAGATTCGAAAATCAGCTTAAAGATGTACATTGTTTCAAATGAATAATGCGGACAGTAACTAAATCAATGAAAATGTCAAAGGATCAATGATCGATGCAGGCCCGTAGCCCCCTCCCCCTTCCACCTGCCCAATAAATGAAATAAAAAGTCTTTTTTTTATTTAAATCTCTGGTCTGCCTTTTAATTTTTTTTTCTTCTTGCAAATGCTTGGATTCGAGTAGGTTTGACTGCACAAAATCAAATTTAGGCGGCCTCCACATTATTAAAATTTTTACATGATATGAAATCTATAACAAACGGTTTTCCTCAAAAGGGGGCACCCACAGCCTCACCGCGTGCTATGAGTTTATCAAAATTATTCAAACTAATTTGAATAAATTAAATTGTAATTGAATAAAAGACATCTAATCTAACAGTTTAATTCTTTAAATTAAATCAAATTTAATTCTCTAAATTAATATAAAAGAAAGTCAGGGAGTTAAAATTAATTAAGAAAATATTATAAGCTGCATGTCATATAATAACAATGTTTAATTTAAAAAGGAAAGAACCTCTGTAAAATTTCATATCTCACTACTAAACGAAGATTTTTATTTTTTTTAATTGCTTATCTTTTTGACGGTTTTGAAATTTTATCCCTTCTCTTGAAAATATTTTTTTTTACACATAAATTTTCTATAAATCGATCAAAGAAGCTTTTTTTTTCAATCTTTTCTTCTGGACATATTTAAAAATTATATGAAAAAACAAATAAATGAAATAATAATTTATGTTGAAATAAAGAAAAAAATCAATTTCACACCACTGCAGCCTCCCCGAGAGCGAGAACAATAAGGACAGTAGTTATCAGTAAATGTCAGCACTTGTCTAAGTTTTTCAGCAGGGACAGTAAACGGGTCAGTAATTGTCTAAATTTATCAGCACCGACTAAGATTGTCAGCACTTTTCTAAGTTTATCAGCACCGGCAGTAAAAAGGTCAGTAATTTTCTAAGTTTTACAGTAACGACAGCACATTGTCAGTAATTTTCTAAGTTTGTCAGTAAAAAATGGGAATGTCAGTACGTTTTTGACTTAGTAGTGTCGAAGTACATGATGTTCAACATTGCTCTTAAGAGAGGGGCTTTTCCCCAATTTCTCCCACGCACGGGGTACAGTGTTATTTGAGAAAAGATAATATAAATCATTCCACAGTCATAAAGCAATCCAGTTTAATATATGAAGGGCAAAATATCCATCACCTTCTTTTTGCTTATTTCGATAAGTTTAAGGTAGCATTCTTCTCTGGTTTCTGACTAGTTGGAATATTCAAAGTACATTTGTTGATATGTATTATATATTTAGATGTAAGAGACTTAAAAGACCATATTTTTCTTTCCTCATCACAATTATACAACTTTAAATAGAAATGGTAAGCTGTGTTTGAAAACTAGCAGGGACTATATTTTTGGCGGAATGGTGGCGTATGAAAATATCTTCTTTCTGCCTCTCAAAATAATTAAAGAACATTGAATTTAGTTATAATTTTTACGCAATCAAAGACTAGAAAAAAATTTCAAATGTAAGTTAAATTAATAATGAGGGACTAAACTTTCAAAATATTTCAAATAAATAAGATTTTTCACACATATTAGAACTATTTTGGCTTTTAAATGCTTCAAATCTAATTACAGATTTGAGCCAAAAATCCGTAAAAAGTGTTATTTCTCACATTAGTAAACGATAAAAACTTTTAGTTTCTGTGTCATTTTGTACCTTTATGTGACAACTTTACTATATGTGAAAATTGAAAAAAGATAAATATAGGAAGCATATAAAAATAACTAATAAATCCTAAAGATTTAAGAAAAGTAGAGGAAATTCGGATCAGCAAATATCCATTTAATTTAAATTATACATGTCAATTTG